TGATTATTTTATTTGTACTAAGCACTAAATCAGACAGAAAGTCTGAGAATTCAGTTAAGACAGACCTATTGTTATACAAGAGCTAAAAGTCTTTTTCTTTTAAAACCAGACTTTCCAATGCTGTAGATATTTGTACAGTGTCAGTGTTTAAGCAATGCTATATCCACTGTTTTATGATCGGAACTATAATATCTTTATTGTCTTGTCTTCCAGATCCTGGTGACATCACTCCATACTCAGGCTTCTCAGAGTATTTCAATGAGATTGAGAACTGAGACTGGTGGGATGCCTTTCTGTATAATTGCTTGGTTGTTTTTCAGAGTTGGGCAAGCTGACTTTCAGAAGTGTGAGTGTGAGTAATCCACCGTGCCAATTTACAGAGTGGTAGAGCAATGCTTATGTTACAGTCAGGACCTCGACGCCACTGTGTTGCTGTCTTTCTTCACTTCCCAGTCTAGTAAATTCTTTATTTGTTGATTTATTTTGTTTCTCTAATTACAATGAAAGATCATGAAACTGTATTACACACAGGGTAATAATGGCTGTGCCATATACTTCATTGTCATGAAACAACCAAAATCCAGTGTTAAGACCTGCTGACACTATGCACAAAATATCATAAATATGTTTTGGCACTTACTTTCATCTTAAGCTATACCATATGTCAGTTAAAAATACATAGATGACACTATTACTGTTACTTTCATTCAGACCTTAGGCTATGTTCACATTACAGGCCTTAATGCTCAATTCAGTTTTTTTCTTGTCAGATCCAGTCGTTTTCTGTTGATGGTTTACATTCATGTTTGTAAGTGACGTCTCCAACTTCATGTCTAAACAGTGTCGAGATCATAAACTGCCCCAAATGTTGAGATTTATCTGAAATGTGAGCTATGTGCCTACAAGAATAACAACAGTCATTTGTGTGGCAGTCCCTCAAAACCTGCTCTGTTACAATATGTTCCTTCCAGTTTGGCTTGAATAGAAGCTTCTTCATAAATGTCCAACAAATCTGAAACATCCTCATCTCTCCATTGACCCCCATTGCTGTTGTTGCTCTCCTCTATGTTTTTTATAATCAGCCTATAAGGGGCTGACACTGAATAATGATGACAGGAAATATGCACGTAAGCAGAGGAGTCAACTCTGAACAACCAACAGGAAAAACACTTTGCTTTCACAAACAAAATGTAGGCCACGCCCTACTGCTAGCTCTCTGTAGCCTGGAGCTATCAGTAGCCAGCTTTTTTACCAAAATGATTGGATAGTCATTCTGAGAAGAGCTTAGTATCTGGGGTTTGAATTTAGAAGTGGATTGTGGTCTGAGATGGGAACGGTGGGAAATGTCTGTTTTGTTGGGGACACATAGCTGCTTCAGATCACATGACAAATGCTTAGCTATGGAAATGTTTGAGTTTGACAAGTTCATGTTTGCTAAAATTTATCACAATATCCATCTCAGAATTTAACAGATTATGTAGGTCATTTGTTTACATTTGAATTCATTCTTGATTGTTTATGTTAGTTCTACTTCGACAAAGGATTTGAGTCCAGCTTCAATCTGCAGCACCACTCTGGCCATTTACAGATATTGGGCACATTTGTTTGTTTGTTTGTAAATCCTGTATCACCTTTACATGAGTTTCTTTTCGAGGCATGGATTCAATAAGGTGCTGGAAACCTTTTCTACATGTTTGATCCATGGTGAATCATTAGCATCATAGTGTTACTGCAGCATCTTCAGCAAGACATGCTAGAAAATTCTGCCAATATGTGAGCGCTCGCCTGTGAGAAAATCAGCTATGTGAGCAGTGATCTGGCTGTTTTCTGTTTGCTTCTCTACTGAGATCTAGATTTCTTGTTCATCTCACTGTTCTATTAACACTGAGTGTCATGACTGCTTCTGAGATGTTGGAACCATCATTTCAGGCATCAGCAAAGGTAGATCACCATCTTGGCCTTTAGAGAACCATTATGGTTTATTACTTGTGTTTTTTATATGTACATACCCATGTAACTAGATCTGACATTCACAGTCATGTTCCATGCTGATTGGCTGGTTGTGGGGTGGTATTAAACTATGAGTGCTACTGTACACTATGGATGTGTTCAAGGACAGTTTGTGTGAGTGTGGGCCTATCTTTCAGTGTCTGATATGGTGAGATGTCCCCACTGTGGCTGGCTTTTCATCCCTGTCTTAGAGTGTGGCTGGAAGAGCTTATATGTACACTTCTGCTAGTTTATTTCAACCCTGAGTTTAAAATTGAATGTGGTATTGACAGGAGGATTGATACTTCATCAGTAGCATTATACTGTACTGTTATAATGAAGCTGAAGTTTAGACTTAAGACAAAGTTCTAGGCTAGACTTGTCCAAACTTTTTATGCTAGGGGTCCTATGGATAAAACGGAACAGTCCGGGGTGTTGAATCTTTTAATTTAAGCGACTTTCTTAAGCATTCAAATCTGAGGTAAGATCATTTTATTCATATTAAATTTCATTCTGCAGTAAATATCATTCCTGAACTGAAGAGTAGCTGTCAGCTGGAAGTCTTTTAGTGGAGGTCTGAAGGACATTATGGAGGTGACTGTTGGGCATCTTGGTTAGTCTGCTTGGGTTCAGTAACTAGCCTCTTGACCCTGTCTGTTTGCTTCCTTCACTATATTTCAGCAACACAGTTGTTGCTCCAGTATACTGCAGGTGTTGCCTGTTGACATACACAAGTAGTATTATCTAATAACTGGTCCACTATATTAAATGTGCAAAATACTGTGAACAAATTTTGACCTTTAATTTTGGTGTTTGCTAGACATTGGACCTAAGAACAGTGATATTTGACACCAATAGAAGCTATGATTTTTGTGGACTTCTGATTTTTCCTATAGTGCTACCAACAGGCCAAACACATACCCCTGACCAACACTTTGGTACGATTTTCATTTTCATTAAATTAGTTGTGGATTTTTAGGATTCTAGGAAAATTACATCAGATGGTTTTGGTGATCCCCTGCCTGTTCATCTACCATTAGGCTGAAAGATCAAAAACACACACACACACGCGCACACACAAAAGGCTACAAAACAATATTAGGAAAGTGTCCCATAAATAATGTACATTCGGTGCATTATCTCTGTTTTTTACACATTTCTTTCCAAACTAAACCAGGATTTACTTGTTATTATTTGGATAATGTTCATTTTCCTTTTCCAAGCAACATGTTATGGACCACATGGTTAAACTGTTACTGCAGTGTTTTTTCTTCTGTCATCTTCCATCCTTTTTTTTTAATCAGGTCTGTTGGTTGCATGCAGGTTATATACAGTAAAGAAAAAGCAGTTTTCTACAGATTATTACACCAAATCTGTTATGCTTGATTTTCAATACTTGTGGGAGTATATATCTGAGTCACATTTTGCCACAAAAAACACCTTTTAAGGAACAAATATCACCACATAATTCAGAATGGTATAGAAATAATATAATTTACAATAAAGTTGATGTGGTAGAGCATATAATATAATAAACTCCAGGTTTAACAACTGTTAAAACTGTGATAACAAATGTGAAACCTGCTTGGAATTTTCAAGCATAAATTGCATATGAAGGCAAAAATTTCCAGGAAAGTTCAGAACATTGACAGAAAACCAGACAACACAGAGGTCTATCTGTTATCTGTATTGTAAGTGATCACTGATTCTACCTGCAGTTTAAGCTATATTGAAGTTGAATCCTCTCTCCCGTTTGTTAGGCAAGTGCACCCTCTAATGGATTAAATACTTCTCTAACCTGAGAGAGCCAGAATCAACCCCAGTGGACTGCGTTCAGTCTGCATTTTCTCTTGGTATTTTAAAGTCTCCTGTTTTTGTCCTCTTAACAAGTAAAGGTGGAAGGTTGCATAGCTAGACCTACTGGATCACCAACCAGAGGAAAGAGGGCAACTTTGCCAGAGCCCCAGATCACAGCTCCAGGTTTATTTTCTCAACTAATCGTGCTGCTTTAAGTGAAATTTGTATTTTCCACTCCTAATTAATAGTCCTGCACGCTGGCTATGCTATGATGCCATATTTGTGTCTCATTTCGGAGTACAGGAATATGTGTGCAGTACATCAAAAAGATAACAATTGTGTGTTCGCAAAAAAGATTTTATTGTGTTCAGAATGCAGAATGACTCGTGCGCTCACGAATTAGACACAAATATAACGCTTTATCTTGAGGCCTGACAGAACCCTGACCCTCAGCACAGGAGCACCACAAGGATGTGTGCTGAGTCCTCTCCTCTATTCCCTCTACATGTTTGACTGCACAGCCACTCACCCCCACCCCTGATGACAGAACAGTGGTAGGGCTCATCTCAAACGACAATGAGACGGCTTACCAAGATGAGGTGCAGAGATTGATAGTGTGGTGTGCAGATAATAACCTGTCACTGAATATTAAAAAGACAAAGGAGCTCATCATTGATTTTAGTTTATGTCAGCGGGAGCGCTTACCATTGAAAAATGAGGGAGAGGAGGTAAAGAGAGTGGCCAGTTTAAGTTTCTGGGCATTCATGTAAGTGAGGATCATAAGTGGACTGTCAGTTCTGGGGCTCTAATAAAAAAGGCTCACCAAAGACTGTATTCTCAGAACGCCAAGGAAGGCCCACCTCTCTGCATTGCTGCTAGAGTCTTTCTACCACTGCTCAATAGAAAGCATACTGACATACTGTATTACACCCTGGTATGGAAACTGCTCAGCAGATGATAGAGCGGCTCAGTAGAAAATCATACATATGTCTCAAAAACTCATTGGACTCACTCTGCCCTCTCTAGAGGACATATACAAGCTCTGCTGTCATAGCAGGGCCTGCAACATAGTCAAGGACAGTTTCCATCCCTCCCATAAACTTTTGTCATTGCTGCCATCTGGAAGACATTATAGAGCCCTAAAGGCACGTGCTTCCAGACTGAGAAATAGCTTTTATTCTACCGCAGTTATTATTCTACAGTTAATACTGTAATGTCGAAAAACTTGTACACATTGCACAAAGATGGAGGGAAAGCTCATAGAGTAACTAAAATAAACAGTCTCATATAAAGAAAAAAAGGTCTGATGAATCAAGTAAAAAAATGTATACAAAGAACAGAAAATACCAAAACATAACATCAGATGGTAGGTAGGTACTGTAGGTACTTTATTGATCCCACAGTGGGGAAATTTCTGTGTTACAGCAGCAATAGAGAACAACCAACATAACACCATAAGAACAGACACATAAGAACAGGACTTCATAAAAACACGGAAAAGAACACAAGGACACAGCTGCTGTAACTTGCTGTCAGTCCACGCGGCGCATGTGTACGTACGTAAGTACGTAGTAACAAAGAATGCTTAGTCTTAAAATAAAAAGTCAACAAAGCATTAGGACTGATACGCACAAGGATGATAAAAGTAGCGTCATCAGAAGGTTACATTTTACACAGCACAAATAAGCAAATCAAAGGCACCTAAAAACAGGGCAGAACAGCTATGGAGAGAATCAGGAACAGCAAATGTAGTATATATGCAGATGTTGTAATATACAATATTGTGTGGGTTTAAACAATGCTTGGTTGAACATCATGAATATGGATAGACTGGCCCACTGTAAGTGGAAAAATATTACTTTCATTCACCTTTGTTTATTGCATATAGTCCATGTAGATTATAGCTACATCTGGTATATGTCAAAATCCACCCATCCATTCATTTTTCCTCATCATGTAGAAGGTTGTGGGGGGTCAGAGCCAGTGAAAGGTGAGGTACACCGTGGACAGTCTATCACAGGGCTGACACACAGAGACAGACAACCATACACACACACTTTTTGGTAATTTAGAGCTGCCAATCAATGTACCCTGGATGTTTTCGGACTGTGGGAGAAAGTAGGGG